TTCTCTTCTCTTCTCTTCTCTTCTCTTCTCTTCTCTTCTCTTCTCTTCTCTTCTCTTCTCTTCTCTTCTCTTCCCACAGTCCTAAATATCAGATGAATGGCTCTTTGTGCCAAGCTGTCCCCCTGGGGCATTTGAACTGCTTTGAAAAGCAAAAAGTAAAATGAAATCCTAGAGATATCATATAATGTCAAGCTGATTGTAAACTAGAAAGCACTTCAGGTCCTCCTTGGTTTTTTTTTTTTTTTTTCCTTATCTGAATGCTTTCTCTTTATTTGTATTTCCAAGAGTTTAATAACACTGGTCAGCTGAACTACTTTTCCTTTTTAATGAGTTATATTTGCACTGGTGTTGTAACAAACATTCATGTTTTATTCACCAGGTTCACACATTGTGCTAAAACAGTGTAGTATGGTTTAGTTTTAAGTTATGGGAACCCAATTTCTCTATGGTTTGCGAATCATGTATGGGTTCAGCCAATTGTGGCTAAGCTCACAAACTATGGGCTTAGCACGGTGTATACATCTAGTCGTTGGGACTAACAGAATAATGGAACAAACTGTGACTTTTCATGATATAGGGATCAATCTTGGGCAAGGTTCATACATCACCCTAAGCTAAGATGTCGGTGCTTGTTTCTGATTTAGTATATTGTGTGAACTCTGCCACCTGGATTTGTAAGGCACAGATTATGCTTTAACTTATTGTGTGAACCCAGCCAGTTGTGTATTACTCATTAAACCATGGTTAAGCATATCATAGTTTAATATGTTGTACGAACAAGAGCACTATGACACAGTGTTTTTCAGTGCAATGCTACAATGTGATGTATAACGCTGCAGGTTTTCAGAAGAGATTTAATCGCTCTGCTTTCTTATTATCCTTCTCCTTCTCCAGAAAGGAGTTCTACAGCTTTAGGAAGTGAATAAACAAATGTCTGGGTTTGCTTTTCCATATTTATAGCTGTGCATCGCTTTTTCTAATGGCTGCAAGAGTTCCTGTCTGCAGGTACTTTATTCACACACACAGAGACCCTGTTTATTTATCCACTCAATCCAATTTATTTTTCCAGGAGTCATTTGATGAATTATGTTTTGTCTTGTTTTATATGATCTCCATTCCTTAAACCGTACACTATTTGGTTGGGGACTGTAATAACAATGTTCTATTCATGTCTTTATATATTCTATGCTGGTAGCCTCTCAGAATGTGACATTATTACCATAGTTGCTTCATCAGGTGGCAGCATCTGGCTTTGTCTGAGCTTGGAAGCCATGCTGGGTTAGTCCTGGATGGGAAGCCGCCAGGGAAACCTAGGGTGAAAAGCTGGAGTGGGAAGGCAGGGGAAAAAATCCTGAATAAAGCCAAAGGTAAACTGTCTCCATGCAGCTCCCAAGAAAGCTGCATGCCAATGAAGTCATCAGGAACTGAGCTAGACTCAAAGGAGATCTTTCTTTTGAATAAGGTATATTGACAATCATATCTATATGTTTCACCTGAATATTCAAAGTGGTTTTCAGTAGCTCATACATTTGACAAGGATTACCTATAAGTCATCCCTCAAAGCGTAAGAAGTTACTTTATTGTTAGCCCATCCATCCATCCATCCTTCCATCCCAGGATTGTCTACTCTGACTAAACCAATCCAAGGGTTCCGTAGGAAATTCTCCATCTGGAGAAGCTGGAGACTGAAACTGAGGCCTTCTTCATCTAGACTAGGTATTCTACCATTGAGCGATGGTCCTCTTTTCCAACCCTATCATGCAAAATACCAGCTGAAGAAGATCAGCTTTGTTCTTTACTGTCAGTTTCTTCCTTTCATGAGATAAGATTGATGTTTCCTGTTTGACTTGACCTAAGCCTATCCAAGCTGTGCTCCATCTGCTTCCAAAGAATCTGAGAGTGAAATAAATGATAACTTGGGTCCAAACCAGTCATGAATGCTGTGCTCGTATTCTTTTGCTTGCAGAAGCGTGCCTACAAGAGCTATGTGAGGGCGCTGCCCATGCTGAAGAAGATGGGGGTCAGCTCCATCATTCTCCGTAAGAGCATTGGCGCTCTCGAGGTAGCATGTGGGATTGTCATGACCCTGGTTCCAGGTCGCCCCAAAGATGTAGCCAACTTTGTGCTGCTGCTGCTTGTTCTGGCTGTGCTTTTCTTCCATCAACTAGTGGGTGACCCACTCAAGCGCTATGCCCACGCCTTAGTCTTTGGGATCCTGCTCACCTGCCGCCTGCTGATCGCACGCCAGCCCGAGGACCATCCACCGGAGAAGAGGACCATGACAGTGAATGGGGAAGAGCAGCTGTTGCTGGCAGATACAGCCCCAGAGAAGGGCAAAATCAAGGTGTCCTAGTGGGTGCCTTTGTAAGGGACATATGGACCCTCTCTCTGCAAAACACCTAAAACAGAGCAATGTGTTTCTTTTTGTCCTTTATTGATTGGTTGGTTTTGGAAAGGGTTCGATTTTGGAGCATGGGGAAATCCTTCAATTAGCCAGTTAAATTTCAACCTGGCTTATGCACTCTGAATCTCTAGAGCTGCCCTCTGCTATAGCCATCCGCCTCCCGCCCACAAGTGTGTCGTCATCATTTATTGGGTCTAAAAAGAAATAAGTGTCTCTTGTATTGAGTGTGTAAGTGTCCACGTGCATCTATGTATCTGTGTGCATGTGTGAAAGGGGTGGACAGCTGAATTGCTTTGCCCAAATTGCCCCTGTGCCAAACTGCATTCCTTCAGGGGCAGAAAGACTGGGAAGAAAGTTCCCAATACAGTCCTTGCTCATTCACCTTCCTGATTCACCTACGCCAAGCAGTGCATGCATCTACCCTTTTTCAGCAGACAATAAAGGATGTTTTACAGACAATAATAAATCCATCAGGCCTCTTCCCTCCCAAGTCTGTCTGTGTGGCTGCTGGCAAAAGATCAGGGACTGCTCACTGCCTGTCCCATATAAATCTGCTTCTTTGGCCATCCACTCACTCTGATTTACAAGAGTCACAGATTACTCTAAGGTGATGCTAACAGTGCAATCAATTTTCTATTCTGCATAGGTCTATCTTAAGCCAAGACATTGCGAGATCTCTGTTAACGAGAGGTTTTTATTGTTCAGCTTGGGGTGCATATGAAAGGCAAGTCTCAACTCTCAAGAGAAAT